TTCCATTTCCTTTTTGACAACTTCCAATTTTCCTAGATTCACACTTCGTACATTCCATGTTCTGATGATTAATGGATGTCTGCGGCTGTTCCTCTTCAATTTGAGTGGTGCCACATCAGCAAAGGAAGGTCTAGAAAGCTTTCTCTTATCCACGTGAGTAAGGCTGGGTTTACTCAGATGTTGCAGCTCTTTCCCTGTCCTATTTTGAGAGCCTTTTAGCCTAAATGGACTATTCCTAAAGGTGCACAGTAATGTACCAAACAGTGTTTCTTTGCTATTCATAAGGTTTTCCCTGGTCAATTCTTTGAGAAGTGGATGCCCTCTTCCTTCGTCCTAGTCTGTCTCAGTCTATAAGCTGGGCTGTTACCTGTGCACCAGGTGCATCTTGCTGGGTTTTAAACACCAGAGGCTCAGCCTTAAAACTCACGTCTACATGTCACTCCAGTAGGACAAGCTGAGAGACAAGTTTGTCTTGCTGTTGGAGACCTCTTGTATCACCCCCACCTGGGTTCCTGTGGCTGACTGTTCTTCTGTCTGGCTTCCTGGCTTTTAATTCCCTTTCTTCTGTTCTTCCAGCCTGCTGCTTTGGGCGTCCCTGAGTTGTCTCTCCTCACCTGTATCCCTGGGGCTTACTGCTCTTCTGTCCGGGTTCCTGGGTTTTATCCCCTTTCTCCTGCTTTCCCGTCCTGCTGCTTTGGGAGGGCCTGAATTTCCTCTCCTCACCTAATCCCTTTGGCTGATTACTCTTCTCTCTGGCTTCTTGGCTTTGAATCCCCTTTCTCCTGCTCTTCCCACCTGCTGCTTTGGGCATCCCTGAGTTGTCTCTCCTCACCTGTATCCCTGGGGCTGACTGCTTTTCTGTCTTGGTTCCTGGCTTTTAATCCCCTTTCTCCTGCTCTTCCAGCCTGCTGCTTTGGGTGTCCCTGAGTTATCTCTCCTCATCTGTAACTCTGGGGCTGACAATCTCTATAGGTGTTTTTCCCAGCCTTCACGTGAAATAGTGCATATATGAAGATAAAATAAAGAAGTTTTGATTACCCTAGTTCTTTGAGTCACTTAATGAAGAATTTAAGAATATGGCATTTCAAACT